CGGTTCGAGGTCCCGGGGTTTCGAAGTAACATCTTTCCAAATCAGGATGTGCTCACGGAGAGATATCGGATTTGTTTCACAGGCCTCGCGGTCGCCCGCCAAAGACGGGTTCCCCACTGATGTGCAGGCGCAACTGCCTGCTTCCAAGCGTGGTCTCCGTGCAAGGCGAGCTTGGCTGTGAGGGGGGCGCCGCGATGCGCGGGGCTCCGACCAGCCATCGGCGCGCTCTGCAAAGCGCGGAGCTCGCTGTTCGACATGCCTAACACCGCGCTGCCAAATTCCTGTCGCGGGCCAACTCCGGCGATGTAGATCTTCGACGTGCGCGATCGATCCCAAGGAAGATTCAGTCGATATCGAAGGAGAAGCTTGTGACGACGTCTCATCTGTCGAAATCGTTCCCGGCGTTTAACTTGATCATGCTTGCATGAAGGACGTTGTCCCAGGGCTAGATCGACTTCCACGATGCTGTAGCATTAACAGGGGCGGATGGGCATGCCGCGGAAATGTGGCGGGACAATCTTCTAGCCAAGCGCTGCGAGGAGGCGAAGGTGGCCGCCTTGTCCTCCGCGAGCTGCACGCTGAGACCCCGAGAACAGAGATCCTGAAGGTCCTCCGCCGCCGCCGTCGAGTTGCGCGCGATCTCGCCCTCGTCGCCGTGCGCTACAGCCGTGTCATCGTCGACGCAGGGGCCCAAAGAGACCTCGGGGTGCCTTTCCGTGGGCATCTCAAACTCTTACATAGCGTAGGCCTTCGCAAACGCATCATTGAACATGTCGCCGTAGGGGGCCCCGAACTGGCGAACGTCGCAAGTGGATTATGGTGGGGCCCCCAATCTTAGAATCCGAGGGCTTCTCCAGAGGTTGCGCAACGCCTTGGCGAGGGCTCGGGGGATCTCCTAGTGCAAGGCCCTATCGCGGAGCCAATCAAAGACAAAGGATTCATTGTGCTTCATGCCACCCCAGATAAACCCAGCCGTGGCCATGCCATGTGAAGAAGCCTGTTCAGACCGCAAGAGTCGGTTCCAGATAGCCGCTTCCGAGGGTTCTCCAGCTCCGAAGGCCCAGTAGGCCCTGCGGGCGTTCTCCAGAAACTCGTCAGCCTGGCTTCGCCGAAGCCGCCCCCATATTCGAACCGGTGCATCGAGGAGAAGAATCGGGCGCGTGCCTCCTTTGGGCTTCTCCAGGAGAGGCATCGGCATCCACGGCAACTGGGCAGGGAAGAGACCGAGGCGCTCCACTGCCTCCTAGAGCAAAGACGTGACCGTGAGGCCCGCGTCGCAAGTCTGGCGAACTGACGCGGGCGGGGGCCGTCGAGCGACAGGCTCGCCTGCTTGCCGAGAGACCAAGCCGCCATCCTGATGTCGGATGTGGAGGCAGTAGGGGGACAGTCTCGATCAGGAATCCAGGCTGTTGGCGGCGTTGAACTTGCGTGCCGGAATTCCCCGAGCTCGGTGGTCTCCCAGGACAGGGGGTCTATCGGGTCCGCGGAGAAGGTCCCAGGGGGGCACTGAGCTTCCGTGGGTCGCCATGTCTTTTGGGCCCTCGTGACTTTGTGCATCAGACGCGTCGATCCCGCCAATGCCGATTCCTGCCAAGACGAACGTGTTTCCTTCTCCCCCTCTTTGGTGGCCTCCTCGAAAACCTCTGTATTATCAGTGGGCTGCTGAGCGCTCTCGCCCCGCTCCTGGCACTTTGGGCGGTCTGTCTGCCAGCTGGATGCAACGGCCCTCGTGGATCTGAGAGACGCATCCAGCCTAGGGCGCAGTCCTTCCCCTGGGCGGGAGTGCTGCACAGTGACCTGAGGCTGCTGGCAAGCGGAAATGTCAACGTCCGCGCTGCTGTTGACCGTGACGAGCAATTTGTGAAACGTGTTAAAAATCCATTTCCACCCGGTGATGACCAGGAGCTTACCATGTGGATTTTGTGGGCGATAGAAGACCGACGCGCACGACGCCTGGGTCGTCCTGCTCCTGCCCCCCAACTCTTTCATCGCCCCTCCTAAGAACGTTGCGAGCTCCAACTCAGCGCAGTCAACGAAGTGGCCCCGCGCCTTGGTGAGGACCTGCCACGCTGGCGTCGGAGGCGCGCGTGCGGCGTGGGAGACTGCCTGAGCTGCGTGTGCCGGCGCACCTTGCCACTCAACAGGGGAAACGGGTAGAGGTCTTTTCGGAGGATCAGTTGGCCACCTACGTTCAGACAAATCTCCAGCGGATTGGACGATGAGGCATGATTACCCAAGACGTGCCCGCCCGCGCCGACGAAATAACTCGAGCTAAACCAGGGCCCATCAAAGCGTAATCAATGATGCTGTTGGGTGTTCAGTTGCGACATGTCTGCATAGTGGGAGCCATGATGAGCGTGCCTAGCTTCCGATGGTATGGTACCCTACACTTTTCAAGGACATCTGGGCTCATGTTCCAGTCGCCCGCAATCGTGGCGTGCGTCGAATCACCCATGGAGGCGCCCATGGCGGACTGCATGCGGAGGTTGGCCTCGCTGGGGCCCTCAACGGAGCGAAGGCAAGCCGAATGCAACGTAATG